ACAACAAATTTTATTTGAATCCATAAACTTTATTTAGTTAATCAAATGACAGAAACATAATAAAATGCTCTCAGAGCAACAACAATCAGAATAACAACTTAAACAACATTAAACAACATTAAAAAACAAAACATAATTCAAATCAACATTGTCATCCTTCAAGTTTCTTAATCTGGCTATCAACCTCCTTTAGCTTCTTCTCAACCAGCTTATCAAAATCTTTCAACTCTTCAGAAGTTAAATCATCTGAAATGTTGTTGTTTTGCAAGTAACCAAACATGAGAAGATTCAACTCTTGTTCGCGGTTATCATATTTCAACTTTCTTACCTGGTTTCTAGCTTTATTAATCCTCTGCGTGAGGAACCTCTCTTGGTTCACATTCCTGTTTTCATCTTTCACAGATAAATTCTTGTACCTATCAATCACATTCATAGCTCCTTCTAGATTTGGCCACACCTCTGGTTGAGAATCAAAAGGACTCGAAATTATAGCACAAGCTGGAATACCACAAAGAGTTGTGAGTTCTCTTACCTTCTTAAGGAGACCTTTCTTTCTTTTATTGTAGCTCGCCTTTCTTGCTGTATCATCAGAAATAAATGCAAGTTTCACCTTTCTTCTGGTCATGGTTTCAACACAATTGCTAACAAAGTTGTAGAAAGTTTTTGTGATACTTTTCGAGTGTTCAATTCCGTTTTATATAGAGTGAAATCTCTTACCTTTCTTGAACAATAATATTATATTGTATTTAAAAACACGTCACAAACATATCTTAAAATATAGTATTTCCATTTTTACAATTTTTATATTTGATTATATTAAAACAAAAAAAGAATTTAATTTATATACACGCGCAATAACAAAAATTACACCATCAATAATCATAATTATTATATTATTATTGAAATAAAAAAAATTTTAATTTATGTATGCGCTATAACAAAAATTACATGATCAAATAATTGTATTTGTTATGTTATATTGAAATCGAAAAAAATTCAATTTATATACATGTACTATAAAAATAACATGGTGGAATCATAATTATATATTATATTAAAATCGAAAAGAATTTAATTTACATACAAGTGTTATACCAAAAATTACACGCTCAAATAATTGTAATTGTTATATTATATTAAAATCGAAAATAATTTACACACGTTATAACAAAATTTGCACAATCAAATAATTGTAATTATTATGTTATATTAAAATCAAAAAGATTTAATTTATATTAACACGCTATAACAAAAATTACATGATCAAATAAATAACATTGTATTGTATATGTGAAATAATATCGTTTTTAACATCAAAATTTGAATAGTTTAAAATTAATTTTTGATTTTAATTATAATATTTTTATGCTATTTTTAGGTATGCATTGTGTATATCCACATGTAGTTTTAGACTAATCACATGAGTAATTTTTTTTTGACAAATATTATATTACCAAATTTCTTTAAAAATATTAAACCATAGACAGTAATTATATTAATTTGTTTCCATTCAAACTTTCCTTTATAACGATTACACTTTATTCTTTTGTTATATATATTATTTTTTTTCTTTTCTATATTTTCTTGTTTAATATCATAACCATATATAATGCTCTACATTTTCAAATATTTGAACCTTTTAATATTTATTTATTTTTATTTGTAAAATATTTTTTCATCAGTCAAACTAATATTATCTTTAATATCTTAAATCTGGATTTTTATTTTCATTATCCTAATTACAATTATTTATTTATTTTTATCATTTGAATTTAGAAATCTTTATTTTGTATTTTCTTTTTAATTTTATGAAAATATCAATATTTCTTTAATTGATAGAATATTTTCCTTAAATATATGCTTAACTTTTTTTTTGTTAGGTATATTTCCTATGTATTTGTTTCAAGGATTGAAATTACATTTTCGAGAATGTAACACCGAGAATATAACAATTCAATGTTTATTTCATGTTTAAAAAAAATTATTCTTAAGTATTTTTTATTCTTAGAAATATTGTTTACACATGATTTTCTGATACTTATTCTCATGCTTAAAGAGTGTGTGAACGCAACATTTCTATGAAAATTAATTCAACTACCTACTATAATTTATCACTATTACTCACATTTATTACTATTTTTATTTTTATATTTTTTAATTAAATAAATTTTACAAATACTTCTAAGAAATTTAATTTTTTAACCAAACAAATGAATATGAATATTATTTTTAGAAATAATAATCCTAGAAACATGATTTCAAAGAATGTTATTTCATAATTTAAATAAGCACTTCGAATTCTTATGTTGGACTGTGTTGCATGATCGTCTTTTCTATGTTGCTTGGTTGTCTTCAACTAAAGGACTTTGAGTTCCTAAAGGAAAAAATCAATAAGAAGTTAGCATATTGGAAACATAAATTATTAAACATGGTTAGTCGTCTGAATATGGTTAGATTTGTCATGAATCCCATTCTAAATTCTTATATGCAAGTGGTTGGCCATCTCAGCCAACTTGTAATTTTATTGATAGGATGGCTAGGAATTTTTATGGAAAGGTAATTCGAACTATCATGTGCATCTCGTTGGCTGGAATAAAATCACTAAGTCCCAAAGCTTGGTGGTCTTGGGATCTAGAAAGCAAGAGAGGTCAATACTTTTATGTTGGATAAGTTGGTTTAGAATATCCACCAAGATTGTGATTTTTATGAGTCCAAGTTTTAAAGCATAACTACAGCAGTAAGGAAGCATTCATTAATATGAAAAAGAAAACGAGATAAGTTACTTGGAAGGCAATTATGAAATCTCTCTATGCTCTTAGAGATAGATTGAAATTTAGATTAAAGGATGAAAACACCTTTTTTTTGGTTTTCCAAATGGTCTGGTGTAGGAAAATCAGCGGAGTAGGTTCTCTATATGGATATCCACGATCTAGAAATGTGAGTGAATGATGTTTACTTGGATGAGAATTGGAATTTCAATTCATTATATACCAATATTCCTTCGGCTATCTGTGATTTCGTGAAAGTGCTTCATATTTGTTTGAATTCTATGATGCCTGATCGGTTAACCCTTAAAGGCAATTTAGATGGTATCTATACTGCTCGAGATGGTTATAACTGGCTCCACAGACATGAATTTAGGTTGACAAAACTCCTGGTCAACAATGGTTACAAAAAAGGAGGAATACACAAGACCTTTTTTGTTCAAGAAATGGATGGCAAGCTCATGATTCCTCAGATATATGTGGATGATATTGTCTTTGGTGGGATGTCAGACCAGATGGTTCAACATTTTGTCAAACAGATGCAATTTGAATTTGAGATGAGTCTAGTAGGAGAATCGGCTTATTTTCTTGGACTTTAAGTAAGACAGTTGGAAGATTCTATCTTCATATCTCAAAGTAAGTATGCCAAGAACATAGTGAAGAAGTTTGGTATGTAGAAGGCCATTCACAAGAGGGCTCATACACCTACTCATTTGAAGCTATCCAAAGATGAACATGGGGTGAGTGTGAATCAAAGTATTTATAGAAGCATGATAGGCAGTCTATTGTATTTGACAGCTAGCAGACCTAATATCACATTTGATGTTGGAGTATTTGCTAGGTATCAAGTTGAACCCAAAATTACTCACACCAATCAAGTAAAAAGATTCTAAAGTATGTCAATGGTACAAATGACTATGGTATGCTGTATTCACATGGCTCTAATGCCATACTTGTTGGATATTGTGATGCTGATTGGGCAAGGAGTGCTGATGGTAGAAAAAGCATTTCTGGTGGATGTTTTTTTTCTTGGGAAGCAACCTTATCTCTTGGTTCAGTAAGAAGAAGAATTGTGTGTCCCCTATCCACTGCCGAGGCTGAGTATATTGCAGCAGGAAGTAGTTATTCTCAACTACTTTAGAGAAGCAGATCCTGAAGGAGTACAATATCAAGCAGGATGTCATGACATTATACTGTGACAACTTGAGTGCTATCAACATCTCCAAGAATCTTGTTCAACATAGCAGGATAAAACATATTAACATTCATAATCATTTTATCAAGGATCTAGTTGATGACAAAGTGGTCATTCTGGAACATGTAGCCACTGAGAAGCAACTGGTTGATATCTTTACTAAGGCTTTGGATGAAAATCAGTTTAAGAAGCTATGGGGTGAGTTGGGAATTTTCATTTTTGAAGAATTATAGAAATTAGTCTTGATTATGGAGGATACTAGGCAAAGGAGAAAGCTGGTGTCAAGTTTATGCCTAAAAAAGGGGGAGTAATAGTGATGGTAGTGATGGCAGGGTTAACAGTGGTGATGGTAGTGATGGCAGGGTTAACAGTGGTGATGGTAGTGATGATGATCCCTACTTTTCTATGTTTTCTTGTGTGTTGATGGAAGGTCTTTCCTGGTGGTGTTGGGATTTCATTTTATATGTTATGACATTATTTCATCATGTGTCTGGGAGAATTTATGTTGGAGAGAGAGCTTTATGACAGGGGGAGTGTTCTTTGTATTTGAGTGGTTGATCATTCTATTCAGGGGGCTTACTTGGTAGCGTGGTGGTTTAATGCGTAGGTTTGTTGCTATTAATGTGATCTCAGACAGGATGTCTTAACATGGTGTTTTAGTTGTTTTGGAAGCTTTTGTTTCTTATTGTGTGAGAGTTTATTTCTCTCTGAGGAAGTGTTCTCTTAATTCTGTTGTGTGTGCCTCTGATGTGTTTTGTGGTTGTTCTTTTTTATTGATGCTATTATGATTGATTGTAATTCTCCAAGTTTCCATGCAAAGGTTGTTTTAGAAAATTTTTGCCAAAGGGGGAGATTATAAGTTCTGTGATTTTTGGATTGGCATAAATTTTTTAAAACAGTTTTCAGCAAGATGTTGAGATAGATGTCGTGACAAGTTAGCCAAACAACATGATCAACATGATATTGGGACATGTAGCCAGGACATGTTATACTAGAAGTTTAGGGCTGGGGTGATTTGGTATTTAAAGTGTGAGATTCGATAGTGTTTTAATTCACACAGTCTCGCAATCCAAGGAGGGATATTTTAGGAACTTCTGTCTTGACAGATTTGCTTGTATTTCTTAAAAAGGGTCTTGGAGCCTTTTTAGGAAACTTTATGTTTAGTTCTTATTATTATGCAGGAGATCGTGAAAGTGATTTAAAGCTGAGGCCTTGTGATATACATTTCAAGAGCCCAAGCCCATGCTATTGTGATGTCTATTCAAAGGAGTTTTCTAAACCTAATGAGGTGGAAAAGTTGTGTATTGAAAGAAAGAGTTTTTAGGGTTTAGAGAGTTTTTGTTCTTTTTGTTCCTCTCTTATGTCTTTTGACATCTGAGTAGGACTATGTTATTTGTGCATTTGTGAGCCATTCATGTACCCCTTAGGTACTTGAATTGGACTGAGTTTTGAGTCGTAATCACTCCTTAGATTTTAAGCAAAGAGTGGATTTTTGTGTCTTTGGAAGTGTGACTTCTAGTATTCTTTATTATTGAGTTTGTCACTATTGTGTGAATGATGAGAAGTGAGAGGGTTCTCATATCTAGGAGTTCTTAGGTATAAGTTAGCACGAGTAGTGATTAAGTGAGAAGCTTGTAAACCTGTGGGTGTTTGTTATGGCTTTGA